TGCTGCCCCCCCCCCTCCCCAGACACCCACCTCACCACTGCCCTGCGTCCTGGCACTGAGTCACCCCTGCCCACTCAAGCCTCGCCTCGTGGGGACAGCTCAGCCAGTGTTCCTCGCGGTTGCGGGGTGCTCTCTGGACACTGGGCCCAGACTGATCGCTTGCATTTGTTTTTTGTCACCCACAGATGTGGCCGAGGAGCCGGGCTGCCCCACATCCTGTGCCGTCAGCAAGAGGAAGCCTGAGTGTGAGGAGTGTGGTGGCCTGGGCTCTCTGACGGGCAGGTGCGAGTGGAGACAGGGAGACGGCAAAGGTAGGCTCTGTGCACAGCCAGGCCCTCAAGATGGCAAGCCACGGTGGCGTTACCAAGCAACGGGCTTGCTCCACTCTGTGCTTAGACGCCAACACCGTGATACAGTGTCTGGAAAAAGAAAGAGGCTTTACTGTGAGTTGATTGACAAGGAGACAGTTAATACACTCGAAATCTGCTTCTCTAGTTAAGAAAGGGGATGAGATTACATAGGTTTGGGGACTGGGGACTGGGAAGTGAATTTTATTGGCTGAAAAGCAAGTTAGGGCAAAGCTGATTGGCTAGTCCCAGGGCACATCATGCTTGGAGAAGAATGAAGAGGCTTTTTTTTTAGGAATTTCTGAAGATTTGCATTTCTGATGGTGGGACCCTTGTCTCTGCATACCATGCGCCCCACCCTCACCCCGTGTTTGCAGTTTCTGGCCTCTGGCTGGCCTTGGAGTTCAGCTCTAGATTAGTCACTTCTTGCTCAGACTGGGGTCATCTGTAAATAAACTAACCTGTGAATGAGTAGAAACCTTAAAGAGCAAGTTAGATAAAATCTTTTTGTTTTGCTTCCTAGGGTGTGAAAGCAATTTTACCATTTAACCTCAGTTACAGTGGCCAGTGGAGATGGGATTCCTGTAGGCTGCAGCCTCTATAGTGACTCTCCCTGCGCCGAGTCGGCACCTCAGCACGTTGCCCACCGTCATGGTTCCTAACACAGGGAAAGCGTGGGCAGGCGTGCAGGGTGCAGATGAGAGCCAGGCTGTGCATGGACAGAGGGGTTCTTCCTGGAAGGTGCCAGGCCCGAGGGTGTGGCCTGAGGCAGACCGGACCTGAGCCAGCTTGGGGGTTAACAGTAGCCAGCATTGGTGTGTCACCCATCACTGTGAGGCTCCCACTAGTGGTGGTCTTAGTCTCAGCTGACCCCTGGCCCTGCCTGGCCCTTCCAGCCCCGCCGCCCGCTGCCCTGTGCGCTAAGGACTCCCCACGGGCTCCTCTGTGATAACACTGCTGGGTGCCATTTTTCTCTGCTCAGGCCTCATGTTGGTGATCCATAGAGGAGCAGAATCAACTTGGGAGTCCTGGGGTGCTGCCCCCCTAACTCTCACAGTCTGCCCAGAGGGTGCGCCCACATGGGGGTGACCAGCCTTCTGTGTGTCGTAGGAATCACCAGGAACTTCTCTACCTGCTCCCCCAGCATCAAGACCTGTCCCGATGGCCACTGTGATGCCGTGGAGAGCAGAGACGCCAACATCTGCCCCCAGGACTGCCTCCGTAAGCAGCCCACCAGAGCGCCCCTGTTCAACCTGAGGTGGCCCAGGGCTCCGGGGGGAGCTGGGGGAGTGAGTGGAAGCATGTTGGACTCCCGCCTGCTCTTCAGCCAGACCTGCCAAGTTCCCGGGTTTACGTACTAAGCTTTGTTTGAACATTTCATTTAAATGAACAATTCTACCTGCCCCTTCCCCCACAAAAATACCTGTGGGTTCCGGTGGCGGACTATACTTGCCAGTGTCACTCTGCCAACTCATGGAGGTGTAGTGCCCTGCCCCCACTTTTCTGACTTGCACCTGCCCCTTCCCTGCTTCTGTAAAGTAACTACGTGGATCCTCTGGGGGCCTGGGGGCTCTTCTTTCCACCCACGGTGGCCAGAAGTACAGTCATAGAGACCGGCTGTCCAGGTGACCAAGATTTCTGAGCTCCCTGCTCCCTGGCCCTGAGTAAGCTGCTCCCTCAGTGCCCACATGGGGGGTCGTGCCTTGCAGATCCTGCCAGGGGGCTAAATGGGCTGCTTCTGTCTCCAGGGGGCGGCGACATCATTGGTGGGCACGAGCCTGGGGAACGGCGTGGCATTAAAGCTGGCTTTGGCATCTGCAACTGCTTCCCCAAGGATAAGAAGTGCTTCTGTGAACCGGAAGACAGCCAGGGTGAGTGGGTGGGGACGCTGGCCCCTGGGGCCACATACCAGACCTCCCTAAGCCCAGCAAGGGGGGCAAGAGGGACAATGGCAGGAAGATGAGTGAAGCCCAGGAGACCCCCCACACACACACCTTCCCTTATCTCTGGGCCTCAATTCCCTCATCTGTGCAGGCAGAGAGATGGGTCAGGGCCACTACAGAGTGCCCTCGGGACCAAAATCGTGTAAAAAAAATTAGGCCAGAAAATCAGTGCTTTACCAAGCACCTCACCATCAGCTTAGCTGTCCCTTTGCGGGGCTCACAGCACCAGCTAGCTGGGACCCCTCCTTCCCAATCAGAACCCCCTGATCCTCCTCCTGAAGCCACAGGTGTGGCGGGCAACACAGACCCCACTAAGCAGACAGGGCAGCTTCTGGGATTTGGAGTTGTTACTGTGTGGCTCTAGGCCTTAAGCAACTTTTTCCTGGACCCATTTTATATAAAGAAATTACAGAAGATGTTGGGAATAGGAGAAGCTTAATCTTCCTGGCAGCCCTCCAGGGTCTCTGGTTTCAGTGGGTGCACAGCTTCTGCTGTGTGACCTTGTGCGTCTGCTCAGCCTCTCTGTGCCTCTTGCCCCTTGGAGGCGATGACCATCTCCAAGCGCAAAAGTACACGAGTGTGTCTGTCAGTGCTGGTGGGGTGTGTCACTCCCACTCTCTCGTGCCAGTGGCACTTGCTAGGCTGCTCAGTTGGTCCCAGAGGCCACAGCCCAACTGTTGTGGGCATGGTGGGCTGAAGACGGTGTTTGCTGGCCGCTGGTAGTGTTCAGGGGCGCCCTCATGGAGTGCTGCCCCTCAACGGCCACCCTTGCCTGCAGACCCGCTGTGTGATGAACTCTGCCGCACGGTGATCGCGGCGGCCGTCCTCTTCTCCTTCATCGTGTCCGTCCTGCTGTCCACCTTCTGCATTCACCGCTACCATAAGAACGCCCACAAGCCACCCATTGCCTCCGCTGAGATGACCTTCCGCCGGCCCACCCAGGCCTTCCCTGTCAGCTACTCCTCCTCTGGCGCCCGCCGACCCTCGCTGGACTCCATGGAGAACCAGGTCTCAGTGGACGCCTTCAAGATCCCGGTAAGGTTCCAGAGGGCTGCAGGGGCGGGGAGGCGGGCAGCCGCCTTTGAAGGCCCCACAGGTGACGGGGACAGCAGAGAGATGGGGGCAGGGAGGGTCTCACAAGGCTCCCTGCTGTGACCCAGAGCCCGTGACAGCTGAGGTGCTGTCCACGGAGAAGACGCTATGGATGTTCCAACGGCCCCCGCCTTCACCTCTCTGCCTTCCAGCACGGGGTGGGGGCTCGAAGTAGGTTAGATGCATGATGACATTTGGGCCATGAGGACCCATGCGGGCTGGCAGCCCAACTTGATGGGAACTGTTACGCGAAGGTCCCAAAGGCCTTGGGGAGACTAAGGAAGGATATGGACTTTAGTTGTTGAGAGTGGGGCCTCTAGGAGTGGGGGTTGGCCAGAGGAGCTCATGTTGTGTCTCTGCTCTGCAGGGAAGACTGGAGAAGGAGGCGCAGAAGTGGGAGCCCTGTGGGGAAGTGCTGTCCCTACCCAGCAGGAGATGGCAGCAGGCAGGGCCTTAGCTGGGGTGGTAGAGGGGTCCCTGGGGCAGTTGTGGTGGCCAAGGCCCACAAGGCTCTGACCTGTCCGCTGATGGAGCATGCCCATCAGCCAGCAGGCACCCCCAGAAATCTCCACAACAGGCCTCTGGGACCAGCCATTTGATTCCTTCAGAAACCTGGATGGTTTGCTCTGAAGCACACAGGAAGGGGGTGCTGGTGAGTGCCTGGCCAGATAGACATGTATCACCCCAGCACAGAGCAGACAGAGCCCAGCTGGGGCCCTAGGGCCACGCTGACCAGCATGGAGGTCCTGGTCTCTGTTTTTCCTGATAGAAAGTAGAAAGAATGACTTTTCCGGTGCTATCCACATGTGCTGAGTGCAGCCTCTGCAGTCAGTGGTGATTCGTTGCAGCGTAGAAGTGCGGATACTGGGTGTCCCGCTAGTGTTGTCAACTCTGACCCTGACTATGTGCCCTCCTGGGGCCTGCAGCACCAGGACACCCCAGAAGCTGGCTGGAAGGGTCCCTGGCCATAGTGCTGAGTGGAAGCCACTTCCGTACATGGGGAGCACATTCATGCGTGCACGTACAGATCTCAGAACACAGGGCGTGGGTCCCCAATGGTATCATTTCTGGCGTGGGTGAGCCTATCAGGGAGCAGCACCCCAGACATGCCCTTGCTTGGCTGTAGGGAAATGGATGACAGTGCTGACACAGAAAGGGGGGGCCCGACAGGCTTCAACATCCCTGATTGGAATTCAAGTACAAAGACAGGCTGGAGTCAGGGAAGTCTTTCTAGAGTGCCTTGCTGAGTGAACGAAACTTCAGTGGGAAGGAGGAGGGGAACATGGTGAGCCGCGTACGCAGGTTCAGAGCAACAGTGGGGCACGAGGGAGGTGTAGGCTCTTGTACAACCCGGGGTGGGGGGGTCCCAAGGAGCATAGTGGTGCCTTTCCAAGAAGCTGGGGGTCTTGGGCAGGGAGGTGCCAATTTGGTCCTTTTTGGGTATCTGGACACCAACAGAGAGGGCGGACCAAGGCGCAGACTGTGGACCAATCAGTACCTTACACTGGGTGCCCAAAGTGGCAATAGCACTGAGAGGCTTGGGCCAGACTCCCGTGGAAGAAGGGATGCACCCACTACCTGTGGTTGTTAGTAGCCCTGAACCCCTCATTGTAAGCAAGAACATAGCCTTAGAGTGGCGTAGGGTGCATTCAGTAGACTTGGGACCAGCAAGGTTCCAGACCGTTCTGTGGTGTCACTCTGGAGGGGAGCCCATCATATAACTTCATGATAAGATCTGTCTCTGGGGTTCACTCTGGAGGGGAGCCCATCATATAACTTCATGGTAAGATCTGTCTCTGGGGTTCAGCCTTCAGTGAGTGGGGAACCAGCACCAGCGGGTTCAGTGATGGTCAACTCTCTGCACACTAGTTTCCCCCTGCAGGAACTCCTTTTTGGGTTTTTGTCTTTACCTCAGTGTCTTTTTTTTTTTTTTAAGATTTTTTTTTGTATATACATACAGAACTGGGGTAAAGGCCAGAGGTGGTGGGGTGAGAGGATTCACTAGAGACAGAGTGGGGAGCAGAACAGGAAGACTGACAAAGTACACTGCTGAGGGGAGCAGCGGATGCGCCAGGAGAGCTCTGCTGAGCCATGTGGTCACCTCCCTGGTCAGGGATTGAACTCATGCTGCAGTGGCTGCAATAGCTTCATAGTGCTATGCTTTAACCCTTTGCACCACCAGGGAGGGCGGGAGGGCCCATCCTCAGTGTCTTTCTCTCCTCTCCCTTCCTTCACCCCCACCATAGGAGGATCCAAAGTGGGAATTCCCTCGGAAGAATTTGATACTTGGAAAAACTCTGGGAGAAGGTGAATTTGGAAAAGTGGTCCAGGCAACAGCCTTCCGGCTGAAAGGCAAAGCTGGGTACACGACTGTGGCCGTGAAGATGCTGAAAGGTACCTGTCCAGGCAATGCAAACAGGTGCCTCTGTGAGACCAGGGATGACCAGGGATGAAGCCGCCCTGCCAGGTTGCTGGTGGGGGTGGTGACCAGAGCAACAGGGTGAAGACTTTTTACTCCCTTGGAAGGTGCTAGATTGGTGCTACTTCTGCCCCAATGCTGGGTGAAACGTAATGTGGAGTTTTAAAGCATCATGAGCCCTTTTTGGCGTCCATCGATCACTCTTCTTGCAGTAGTCTGTCCCATTCATTTCTCTCGGCCCATTATCTGTAGAGTTCTGTAAGGACTGGCCCCTGGCCCCTGCCACCCTGGCTTGCCCTATCTCTGGCCGCCTCCAGGAGACCTGCCCCTCCCATGACCAGTCATGCCACATGTTTGTCTCTGAGTGGCACACACTGAGTGTTTCTGGGTGGACAACATCTACCGTGGCCACACCCTGGCCCATGTGGACGAAGCCCCCAACAGCCGGGAGTTAGGCCCCAGTTGCTGCTACACACACATTTGAATGTGGCAGGTGGACCACACTGCCAGGGTATTATGGGTCTTCCCACACTAGGGAGACCCCAGGAGTTAAGGAGCAAAGTGAGACCAGCTGCCAGCCTCCCATGTTGGGGTCAGCCATCAAGCAGACTTGGCACCCTTCCTCAGCTGCCCTCTCACTTCTAGACAAATCTGCAGCTAGAGGCGTAGCGTGGCAACAGCTGGGCAAGAGCCACAGGGCTGCCTGCCCACGGGATACATGTGCTCAGCGTGGCAAGAGGCCACTTCTGTGCTGTCTCACTGTCTTCGCCCTTTCCCAGGACTTTACCCCCCACTGCTGAGAATGTGGTCATTGTGTGTTTAGGGATATCACCGTGTCCCTTTGCCTTTCTAGAAGAACTAACGAAGGGGTTAGGTGAGTCTCTTTGTACCAATGTCTTTGTATGACGGTGATTGCAGAAAAGTAATGTCACTTATACACACAGCCCAGTGTTGGGGAGGCTTTCCATGGTGACCCTGCTTATGGGGAAGTTTCTTCTTGAGGGTTCTTATTGCTTGGAGGCAATAAGGATGCTGTTGAGCATTCCATGAGCTGCGAGAAGCTCAGAGCAGCCAGGTCCTTGCACACTCTGTCTGAACTTGGGCTGGGACTGTCTGCGAAGGCGGTTAACAAATCTCTGCAGGTCAGGTGTGGGTCAGGTGATATCATCGCCCCTTCCTGAGGGATCATTTTACAGCCTGCTGTTTACCTGCGTTGCAGAGAATGCCTCCCCAAGCGAGCTGCGGGACCTACTGTCAGAGTTCAACCTGCTGAAGCAGGTCAACCATCCACAAGTCATCAAGCTGTATGGAGCCTGTAGCCAGGACGGTAAGCCTGCCACAAGACAGGTAGCCGTGGGGCAGCCTTGACTATTTTGTTCCGTCCTCTGTCACCTTTCCTCACCACACCCTCCATCCTTCAGAAGCTCTGGCCCTTGCATCCTGCTGGGGGATAAGGGCGAGAGGGCCTCCTACAGGAGTGCTTGTATGAGGCTTCTGGCTCCTGAGCAACATTCTCTGGGCCTGCCAGGCTGCTCAGAGGGCTCTGAATTTCAGTTGTCAGCACCCCACTCCAGACAGAGCCTCCGGGGCAGGGAGCTCCAGAAATGGACTGCACCCGGTGGGGGTATGTGTGCCATGACCTCCAGGAGACCCAATCCCAGCCCTGCATGGCAAAGGCATTGTCACCACCCCTCACGTGAGGACACAGGCGACGAGACTGATCTGTTGGGCTTCCAAACCCAGTGTGCTTCTTGGGGTTCACTGTGCATGTATGTGTGCATGTGTATATTGAGGTTCGAAACAGGGACAGAGCCATGGTGACAGGAACACTGGTCAGTAAAACTCGGGACAGGCAGCAGCTGCAGAAAGCTGGCAGCCTTGTGCAGGACCAGACCCTCTAGCAGTACCAAGGACCTGGAAAGACACGCCATTCCGGCAGCAGGGGGCAGCCTCCAGGCCAGGGCTGAGCGCACTGGCTGCCTATCTTGGACACGCCAGAAAGGAGCCATACACAATGACTCAGGGAGCCAGCTGCCACTAGGGCTTCCACAAAGGCGCTAAGTGACCCAAGCAGGGCTCTGTCTGTCCCTTGTACCTTGCTTCTGGGGTATAAAGCCTACACGGGGATGCCCACAGCCTCCCGATCCCCTACACATTGCCCAGTGCTGGCCTGACTTCCTAGCCTGCAGGCAGCCAGCCCATAGCCCCCTCTCTGCCCCCAGGGCCGCTCCTCCTCATTGTGGAGTACGCCAAGTATGGTTCCCTGAGGGGCTTCCTTCGAGAAAGCCGCAAGGCAGGGCCCGGCTACGTGGGCAGCCGGGGCAGCCGCAACTCCAGCTACTTGGACAACCCAGATGAGCGGGCCCTGACAATGGGCGACCTCATCTCCTTCGCCTGGCAGATCTCTCGGGGGATGCAGTACCTGGCCGAGATGAAGGTGTGTGCCGCCCCTGCCCAGCTGCACCCCCGCCCCCAACAGCCTTCAGCGGGACCCGGGTTTCAGGGCTTCCCTCGCTGTCTTCCTTGTAGCTCGTCCATCGGGACTTGGCAGCCAGAAACGTCCTAGTAGCTGAAGGGCGGAAAATGAAGATTTCAGATTTTGGCCTCTCCCGAGACGTTTATGAAGAGGACTCCTATGTGAAGAGGAGCAAGGTACTGGACCCAGGGAGTGCTGGCCAGGTGCTCCTGCACTGGGGGGCAGCACCTTTGGGACATGTGGGGAGGATAAAGCAGGTTTTGGGGTTTTTTTATAATTTATTTGCATACAGAACTGGGGTGCAGGCCAGAGGTGCAGGGGTGGTGAGAGGATTCGCCAGAGACAGAGCGGGGAGCAGAACAGGCTGATTGACAAGTACACTGCTGAGGGGAGCAGCGGGTGGGGCCAGGAGAGGTCTGCCACGCCATGTGGGTCGCCACTCCCTGGCTGGGAATCAAACCCACGTTGAAGTGGGTTTTAGCTTCTTAATGGTGCATTTAACCCCCTGCACCACCAGGGAGGGCCCCAGATAAAGCAGGTTTTTGGAATGTAATCTAGTTCTCATTCCCGAAGGCTTCCCTGTGCCAGGGTCCCCAGACACCCCGATTCAGACTCACCCTTACCCCTCCATCATCTTTTTTCCTGAGTGCCACACCTGGAATTTGAGGGCTGCTCCCTGAAGGACTGGGGCCCTGAAACTTATCTTGCTTTTCTAGCCTCTCACTTCTGAAGGCCCAGAAACAACGGAAATAACAGTTCACGCTTGTTCTTGCAGACTGAAAAAAACTGTTTCCTTTCTGTGTAATTCTAGTTATTTGGAGACATAAACCCAAGCGTGGCAGTCATTCTTTCCAGAAAGGAATGGACTGCTTTTCAGGTGTGACTCCCTGGGATGGGGCCTGCTGGATGAGTTTGGAAGGTGCACAGGGAACCCTTGGCGAGTTCATTGGAACATTCTTCAAGTCTCTAAATGAGATGGTTGAGAACTCTTCTGGGAAGTTGTATTCTCTGGCATTTATCTCATCCCTTTAGTTCTGTTGGCCCCTCAGCCCTGCTCCTGCAGCCTGACAAGACAATGGAAAGTCACAGCTACTCCCACTTTCAGAATAGATGCTGCCCAGAAGAGAAAAACATGAAACACCACTCCCCCACTTCAGCCTTGCTCGGAGGGGTCAGAAGGAGCCCTGAGGAGGGTGTTTCATTTCTTCAGGGGCTTCTGCTTTGACTACACATCACAGAACTACTGAAGGGGGGTTGGAGGAGGCTGCTCCCCACCCCACGAGCCGGGTGTGGACAGAGCTTCCTGTTGATACACTGACCTCGAACAAAGCCCTGTGTCCTGTGTTAGACTAGAGCAACACGGGCATCCAAACACAGACACCCTGGGAGAGTGGGACTCTGGCAGTGTGTTACCAACATGCACCCCAGAAACCTTCATGCTTCATTAACAACATAAGCCCGAAAGAACTCTGTTAAGAAAAAGGAATTTCAAAATCTAGTGCAAGCATTTTTAAGACCAGTTTGTGCTTTGAGTTCACCTCTTGAAAAACAATGGCAAAAATTGTCCTGGACAGCATTCACTAGGTCTAGCCAGTGCCTTGATCATGGAGGACAGTCTTTCTGGGGATGCCGAGGGGTCAGGGGATGAAATAAGAGGGCAAAACCCATGCCACACACAGATTTCTTCCCTGAGGTTCCTCAGGAGAGCCTTTAGTTTGTGACAGAAGGCCAAAAGATGGAAATGGTAAAAGGTGGTTTCCCCAAGCCTGTTCCCCTTCAGAAATAATGAGCGGCCTTGCTGGACAGTACCTATGGACCACACATTGGGTGGTACCGCCCCTGGTGCCACATAGCCCTGGATCGGCCTAGGAGAACCTCAGTTGGCCTGGGTCTCCATTCCTCACATTTCTTCTCAGCAAGAATGTGGTGTGCCACAGGCACATCCCGCGTGGCTCTGGGCAGAGCAGCTGACTCTGTTCTGACCCCGTTGGGCATCTCAGCCCAGCCTGGGAGAGGAGGACGGGGACCAGTCCCGTGAGGCTGCTCTCTACCCTGGTGCGCTCTAGGCATTCTCAGTCAGCATCTGCGCCTCCTATACGGCCCCACCCTCCACCACCGGCTGTGGTACCTAGGATGTCAGAGCGATGTTATTACCTCTCTTTTACTTCTTTAGGGTCGGATCCCAGTCAAATGGATGGCAATTGAGTCCCTTTTCGATCATATCTACACCACCCAAAGTGACGTGTAAGTGTGCATGTCATCATCTCTGAGATAGTTACATTGGGACATTTATACTGGCAGGGACCATGCCACCTGTCTAGGCAGTGTGGCTGGGGCATAGTGCTGGCCCTCACTGCCTTGGGCCATGCCAACCGTCCTCAATGGTACCCAAACCAAGGGGGCTTCTGGAAGTCATCCAAGGGGCAGGGTCCAGCAGTGGCTCTGAAAGCCCCACGGAATGCATGAGAACAGTGTGGGAGGTCACCACCCCTCCCCTCCTTGGCTCACTTTCTCTTCTGTGGCTTCCCCATCTGGCCCCTCCCCCGGCCTCTCCAAGCATCTTAGTGAGCACAGACCCAGTCAGACAGGGCCCTTCTTAGGGGATCAGGCTCAGACAGGTGCCCTGGAACTGGTCCCCGCCCACAGTCAGGGTTCCACTTGAGTGTTCAGAAATGGGAACCAAAACTTGGTTGTCAAATTATTTTAAGACTTGATAGCTTTCAAAACACAGCCAACTTGTTTCTTTGGGTTCTGCCATCAACCGACATACCTTCTTGAATAATGTGGGCTGTGGAAAGGCGGTCTGAAACAGTTTGAAACAACTGTTTTCTGATTACCAAAGTTCACTGTAGAACAATTGCAGAGAAAAACATATTGTAGACACTAAAAATCACTTGGGTCCCAACACCCCTTAGTAACTCCTGCTGACCCCCACAGACTTCACCTTCTAGTGTTTTCTGTGGTGTGCAGGTATGTACCTTTCATTCCTGCAGGGGGAACTGTGTGGTAATGGTGTTTTATAATCTGATTTTTTATAACCACTTCATAGTATTTTTTCCCTGACAGTTAAATATTTTTGTATAGCAGTAATTTTATTTTCTTCTAAGCTCTTAGAACATCCCCCAGCACACAGGAGAGAGCTGAAGGAGTTGTTCAGGGAACCCCAATCCCTCCTTGCATTTTGCTGTGCTTCCTTAGCTGCTCTGTGCCCTCTTGGATGCTTTGACACATCCCCGCAGGGGCAGCCACTCACCCTTGTGGGTGTGGGGTCTGAGCTCGGGCTTTGGCATCATGGGGTGGGATCAGGGTCAGCAGGCTGCTAGTCCCCACCGCCATTCTGATCCATCTGCAGTTGAGCATCTGCTCGGGGCATTGGTGGGTCAACAGCTGCTGGGATGTATATCTGGGCTGTGCTGGGGGCACCCCAGGCCCAGTCATTCATTGGTGGTCTTGCACCGTACAGGTGGTCCTTCGGTGTCCTATTGTGGGAGATTGTGACCCTGGGTGGCAACCCCTATCCTGGGATTCCTCCGGAGCGGCTCTTCAACCTTCTGAAGACAGGCTACCGGATGGAGCGTCCTGACAACTGCAGCGAGGAGATGTGAGCGGACTCTGCACTGTCCCGGCCTCCCTTGGGCACACACTGGGTCTCCAGGGAAGGAGATGTGTGCTCATTCCCTCCCTGCTCAGAGTAACCACAGGGGCAGCCGGCGGTGTGCTGGGCAGCAGGTAGCGAAAGGGCAGAGCGTGACAGGGCAGAAGCCTGACCACCACCCTTGGGCGTGATGGCAGGTGTTAGAGTCCCAGTTCTGCTGGAACTGAATGGCTTTCCTGGGAGACTTGCAGGGATAAGGCGGAGCAGGCCAGAGAAATGTAGTGAGAAGAATGAAAGGCTTCAGACTGCAGAGCAGCTGGAGCCCACGGCCAGAGACCCATCCCCGCAGGGCATTTGGGCAAGTAATTCAGAATTACCCAAAAGGTATACATATTAGGGATTTCCCAAATGAAGGTGCTGATCCAGGCAAGGGGAACCTGGGCTTTTGTCCCAGAGAGACAAAATATCAGCTGATTCTGGGGGACAGGTTGAGAACAGCGTTCACAGGCAGGGACATGCGGGCCAGTTCATCCCACAAAGTCTGCAGTGCGCCTGCCTCTGCCTGAGGGCTGGGCCGGAGGGGGAGTGCAAGGCTGAGTTGGCGCCACCTCCGTGGGTGGCCTGAACTGGCAGCCAGCTGGCCAAGCACACACCCACATGGCAGCTCGGGAGGCCCTGCAGCTGTGCCAGGGCACCGGGAGGTGAGGAAGGTGCAAGTCAGGGATGCAACTAGCAAAAGTTTTTGTCTGTTTCCACACTCAGTTCATCTTTTATAAGAATTTCAAGGACCGACGTTTCCTCCTCAGCTACTTTCATGGGCACAGCAGCCCATCAGCTCTTCATCACTGGCTATGAAAGGGAGATGAAAATAAATTTCTCTCAGCAGAAGAGAAGTTTACCAGCTGGATCGTCACGCCAGCTGCCCTGGGCCTCACGTGACCCCTCAGACCCTGGCCCAGCTTAGAAAAGGGTGTCAGCAACATAGAAACAGCTTTGAGGCTTGGGGCAGAACAAGGCACATGCCAGGGTGGCAGTGTGATTGGGTAGTCCCTCCTGCGTCATGAGCACTTGTCTGTTTCCCACCAGGTACGGTCTGATGCTGCAGTGTTGGAAGCAGGAACCAGACAAGAGGCCAGTGTTTGCCGATATCAGCAAAGACCTGGAGAAGATGATGGTTAAGAGCAGAGTAAGTACCTGCAGCCACTTGCTGGGGCCAGTCTTGGCAACGGTGGGACTCAGCCTCACCCCAGGTCTGTGAAGTCCCCAGGGGAGGGAGGGTCCAAGCAAGGCTGTGCAGAGGAAGATGAACATGCTGGCCTCTGAAGGCAGCAGCAACTAACCCTTCGGGCGTAAGGGCCCTTGGGCTTCTTTTCAAAGCTTGAAGAAACCATGATTCTTAGCTTGATACTTAGGAAGAGTTCTCCACAAACAAGTATGAGAAGAAAAATCTCCAAAGCTAAATTAGTTTCAGTAATAGAACGTAAGAAAGTAGAGTTGCAGTGGGCACCTATGTGTTGAGGGGCCAGGCAGGGGGGTGGGAGGTGACTAGGGAGAGGTGGTGACTGTGGCAAATGGAAGCAGAGCAGGCAGTCTTCTCTGAAGAACTACTCAACTGTAGCCTCATATAACAGGAATATAAGCGTTTGCATGGCTGGTCTTCTGAACTCGAAGGGCCACTTCTGTCAAGTTTCCCAGTTTTTAATGTTAGGAACGTATTTAAATTTCCAAAAATGTGGGAGGGGGCCAAACAAAACATCTGCAAGGCTAGCTTCAGCCTTGGCTTCCTGTTTCCAACTCTATGAACAAATGAGAAAGCCAACCAAGTTTCAACAAATATTTATTGAGCAGTTGCTACACACCATGTTCTGTCACAAATGCTGGGGATATAAATAAACAAAACAGACCAGGCACAGACTGGTTTCATCCCTGACATTGACACATTTACTAAAGGTTGCCATTTCTTCAAGCACAAAAAATAAGATGTTTGGCCTAGGCCACTTGAAATAAAGCCTAACGTTAGCAAGGGGCTTAGGCAAAGCCTCTGATTCCTGTGAATGAAGGCTTGTCTTAAACAAAAGAGCTGACGCCCAGAGAACTGGCCTTCTTGAGGTTCTTCATCCAGTTAAGCAGGGCAGCATAAGTAGCCGGCATTCAAGACTGTCAACGCTTGGAGCTGAAGCCAATGGTAGTATCCTGTGCAAAACCCGCATCCGTGACTTCCAATTTCTGAGTCCTGATGTGATATTCTGGATAGAAGGGCACCCTGAAGGGAAGCTGAAGCATCCAGCATGGGGGGAGATATATCTTGGCTTCCTCAAATAAAGGTGCTGCAGAGAGCTCAGGTTTCATAGTAGGCTGGTTCCCCAGTGCTACAGATACGGGACAAGTGTAGAGACCCAACAAGGCGACTCTTAGAGGGGGCTGTGATGAGGACCATGAGCAAGGCCAGGCAGGAGTTAGGGGATAGCAGTGCTGGTTCTCGGTGGGGTGGTGTGAGAGGGAAGCCCAAGGAGGCCAGTGGGCTGGTGCACTTAGAGCTAGGTCAGGGCTAATGCCCTCAGCAGTGGTAGGGAAGAAATAGAGATCCCTGGACATGTCCGCTTGTGGCCCAGGCTGGGGTGACCGGCCATCTCTGTCTTCCAGGACTACTTGGACCTGGCTGCGTCCACCCCATCTGACTCCCTGCTTTATGATGACGGCCTCTCAGAGGAGGAGACACCCCTGGTGGACTGTAATAATGCTCCCCTCCCTCGAACCCTCCCCTCCACGTGGATTGAAAACAAACTCTATGGTAGAATTTCACATGCATTTACTAGATTCTAGCAACATCGTTCCTCTCTACACTATCCTTACTCTCTGTAATGCTTTCTAAGAGTGTTTCTGGTCTGAATGAAGCCAAAGCCCGCCCTGAACCTTTTTATTTGTAAATGTCTGACTTTGCATCAGTTTACATTCAGGCATTTTTTGCAACTATGTTTTTTTGTTTTTGTTTTTTTTTTTTTTTAAAGGATGTGAAAATAAGTGCAACTATTATGCTGCCCAGCAATTTAAGGTGACAGAGAAGAAAGAGAGCAGGGCAGAACTCTCAGGGGAAATTGAGTCAGTGATGAATGAGTGCTTATGGGGTGGTTATCAAGTCATTGAACTTTGAATTTAACCACTGGGATAAATTTGCTCAATCAGGGGAGGTACCAAATTTAGAAAGGAGGAGCCAGCACCACCCTGCCTGCATTGAGAGCCCAGACAGCAGCACCCCCAGATCCTGTCTGGACCAATGGGTGGCTCATGGGAGCTGGGGGCGGGGGGAGTTGGAGGGGGTGCTGGTACTGGGAAGGAGCGTGCAGCCTGACCTTGGCCATAGCCTCGTGTCCCCTGTCGGGGGAACACACACACAGACTGCTATTTTCACATCCTTTGCATTACACGGTGTTGTGACACTTGTCACTTTTAAAGTCAGTGGTAAAAGCTGGAGCAAATGCTTTTTGAAAGAACATAGTCTGTGGTGCTGTGGTCTTGCAATGGACAGTAAATATGGTTCTTGCCAAAACTCCTTCTTTTGTCTTCGATTAAATACTTGAAATTTTTTCCTGTTTCCTAACTTCATTGATTGTTTGAAAATCTTGGAGTTGCAAGCACTTTTCCAGCCAACATTGTTCCTTTTGCATGCCTCCTGAGTTACTATTACTTGCTGGCTTCGGGTCTAGTGCTGTACGCCATTTGCCCGGTCGGTCGACGCTGTGGGGCTCACCTGCGTGTGCCCTTGACATGGAAGATTCGCTCCTCTCTGTTAGACTTGGATGGAAGACGAGTCGAGTAGGCTTCTTTACGTTAGAGAACCTTTTCTAGGAGCTTACCACTGCAGTAGCCATTTGTACAGCAATGGCGGATATGAGATGCTGCCTTAGAAAGAGTTAAACGGACCAACAGATGCATGTATCAGGTTTGAAACTGTGAAACTCAGTCAAATTGGTCATTTCTGTTAAGTCACCATTACCAAAAGAGCATGTGGCATTACCCCTTGGTAGTACAGTGTCTGGAAACCTGAAGCACGAAACCATTTATGCAATTGGCACAACAATCGGAAGTTTGGTTTGATCCTCAAAGGGAGTTTTGCCAAGGCCTTACTGTCTGCACATGAAGTGTTGGTTCTTCAGTGCAGAACAAATGATCTGTTTTCATTTTTAGGCATGTCAGACCCGAACTGGCCTGAAGAGAGTCCTGTACCACTCACGAGAGCCGATGGCACTAACACTGGGTGTCCACGATATGCAAATGATAGTGTATATGCTAACTGGATGGTTTCACCCTCAGCGGCACAATTAATGGACGCATTTGATAGCTAACATTTCTTTGTGCAAGGTAATGGACTCACAAGGGAAGAAACCTGCACTTCACACTGGCTGGCGATTTTCCCTCCTAGCAGAGATAGCGCACTGGATGAGAGTCCTGAGTTCAGTGTTTAGGTCTTCCCTTCTCTACGGCCCTCGGCGGCGCCAGGGTGGTCTGGATTCATCCGTGACCACCAGTCACTCTGCTCACACGTGTGGGTCCCTCACTAACTACCTGAACTGTTTGATTTCTCTGGTCCCCACCAGAGAAGGCAACAAGATTTAAACACAAAGCACACACACATGCACACACGCACTCGCAAAGGCAGCAGGAAAAATAAAGGCCAAATTGACCTGTTCTTGTTCAAATTGAGAGCCTGAGAGCTGGGCAAGACCTTGTAGCAGTGTCATAGCTCTACCAAGGTGGAGGGGAAGGGGCAGCCTCCAGACAGGCCTTGGCTCAGCATCTGAAAACCAGTTTTGTAAAATCATGTAGCCTTTTCTTAGCAAGACATTTGATTTTCATCATGATTAAGATGATTCTTAGATTTAGCACAATGGAGAGATCTGATGCCATATTTGCTATGTAGAAGGGTGATGTGGAGGGAGTGGGTTCACAAGACACATTTGTCCCTATCACTGAGAGATCACTGCTCCAGTGAGGAAAAAAGTATGAAGCATAGGGGTGTTCCAGGAGCGTGACCTCCAGTGCAGAGACTGCAGACAGCAGAGACCTGGCTACGACTCTCAACTCCAGCAGCCCTCTGTGCACCCCACGTCCAGGGCCAGAAAAGCGGTGACTCATTCCACATATTAGAATAGGGTGGGGCCTGTGCTCCTTTTGAAGGAACAGTTCAGTTAGTTATGTTAAAAGTCGCACTGAATATGACCAAGAATTGCTACACCTCTGATTACAATTCTAATGTGGAAAAGTGTGGTTTGGCTCTTATAGAGCTTATGTGAAAAGGTACATGTATCAACTCCTCTTGTGTTTGTAACTTAATGCTGCTAGACATTTCTGTTTCTTAGATTCTGACTATGACTCATAGTTTCTTGTCATTCTTCACCGCTCGTTTGTGGTCACACATACTCGGCCCTCCTCCCATCACGTGGGAGTGGTTTTTGGGAAGTCCTGGCGCTCTTCCGTCTGTTACAACTTTGCAGCAGAGGTCTGGTTACCAAACTGCCTGGTCTTAAGACTTAAAGCACTGTGAAAGTAGTCTCTTTAAAATGCTGTATTTTGCAGGCATTTCACAAAAGCCGTAAAATGACAGTATTTTGTGTGGCCAAGAAGGCTTGGGTCGTATGTGTGGGAGACTCATGAAGTGTGTTGTGCGCACACATCATGTGTATACAGAGAGAGAGAGAGCTGGAGAAACAGTTACTAGAGATGTATTAAATGTAGCTTTAGTGTGGGCCATTTTTTCAGAATACACTGTGATAATTTACAAATATATCGTTGTGGTAAACTTTTGGTTTTCAGATGTGCTTAATGATAGTCTTGTTAAATGCAGGAAAAAAAAGAATAAAAATCTCTCAAATTATTAAAAATGTCTATTCTGTAAGTGTGAGTTACTACAGCTAGGTTGTTCTTGGCAGGATGAGAACTTCAGGTCTAATTGACTAACCCAGTGATGGGAAATTAATTCTTGAGTAATAATCTATTTGTCTATTCCTGAGTTATAAAAGTACTCATACTTACTAGCCCTATCAGACAGAACTTCCATATGCATATATGCAGAAGTTACTATGTATTAAATATCATTGAGTATTAAGTAGCAATCTGTCGTTATTAAAATTTGTAAACTTTATTTACGAAAGGTATTAAACCATACCATGTTAATTTGCTTTTGTAATCAAGGTGACTAAAAATTTCAGTTTGTAAATAAAATTATGTATCATAAAATGTGTAAACTTCTCTTTAACTTCCTAATGAAACATCAGTTTCTGAATTTGAAGTTTTACTATAAAGATTAAAATATCACGAGGCAATCTATTGTCACTGCTGGGGAACTAAGAGTGGTCAAAATACTAGGAGGCTGGTGGTGAGGTTATTAACTCCATTTGCACCACGTATGTGAAGAGGTACATACATAATGTTTAAAAACTGCCAATTCCATTGTTCAAGGAATTCCTTCAGGTTTCTTTCCCTAAAATAGAGCCACAGCCAAAGTTGAGGTCCAGTATCTAGACCCACCTTGTGGGTCTAAGTTCTTAAAAGTGGTAACTTTTAGAGAAACACATGTAACAAAACCAGGTTCTTGAACATAGTTTTCATTCAACATCAGCCAAAATATTTTTTCTCATCAAAGTTATAGCAAAAGGGCATTATCTAAGGACCTGCTATATTTGCAGTTCTCTGCAGTTTGCCTGTTGTTTATTTCTTGAAGCTGGAGTTGCACAGATTTGGGAGACTGTAAACTGCATGGCAGTAACTAAAGGGAAACTGGCAGGAAACTTTTGGCCAAACCCTTCAACCAGCCTGCAAATACTAAATGTTTCTGTTTATGTCCTGATGGGGCTGTGTGGAAATCCTCTGTAAGCTTGTCAAATGCCTGACGGAGCAGGTGAGTCAGTTTGTAGATTTGAACTGTTACCAACATAAACGACTTTTGGTGGTTTTATTCATTGATGCCAAGGGCTGGGTTGTATAGATTTGCACACAGGATGTACATACCTCACCCAGGGGCCCTGGGGCCTCGTGTGTAGCTCCTGACCTACAGTGCCTGTATGGTGTTGACTGCCTCCAACCTGGACCACAAGGACTGGCAATAAATGTAATTTCTAGGGTCAGCTACTTGGTATAGTCATTACCTTTGAATGTTTAGAAACCTATGCAGAGAAAAGTGTTTGTGGACTTGTAAGCTTGTCTTTTCTTTCTTAAAAAAAAAAAAAAAAGTTCTCTACCAGGTTTCACAAAGGATTCCTTCCCACCCCAAGGCCAGGTTGGAAGTGCAGCTTAATGCCCAAGATCAGGACTTGGACAAATATTTCACATAAAAAGAAAGTTCAAAAGCAAAGCATTCATTTCCAGGCAGAGCACTGAATGGTTTCTAGGTTCCCTTTAAATATTTCCCCATCTAGGGTATTTAGCCAGATGACTTTGGAAAGTTCCTATGAAATCCTTACCCTTATGGTCCTGGAAAGATTTAGTAAGGGTGCATCCAAAGGACGAGCAATGTGGGCGCTCTCACACCTTCAGCATAAAGATGTGCAGGAGTCTTCTCTGCTGCTTCATGCAGAAGACACCCCTCTCCACGGAACCTGCCATGGGGAGCTATTCCCTCCCCAGGGCAGCAGCCTACCCAGCCTTGTTAGAACCTTGTAGCACTTTCTAGTGAGCTGGGACTCCCGTGAAAGACCATCTTAGATGCACTCATGAGAAACAAGAACTGTTGCAGAGAATTTTTCAATCTAGGCCACATTGCCATGTCCATCAAGGGAACTAACAGCACCCCCAAAGAAGTCGCAGTCCACCTCTGCAACTCTGGTTTTGATTGCCGTGTCAAATGACAAAATAGTTTCGCAGATGTTTCTGGGATAGGCTAAATTACAGGACCTGGCTAACACCTCAGCGGGGGTCCAGCCCATGGAAGCATCAGGGAGGCCATCTTGCAGAGGAGGCTACAGGGGCTTCGGTGTCACTGTAAACTGGACCTGGCATCATGAAAAGAGCCACGACCCAGGACCACTTCAGCCACTGAGACAAGATCTCTACCATAGCAGAGAGACCGTGACCCTGCATCCTTTCAGAGGTGACCGAGCAACTCAAGTTCAAAATTAGTGCAAGCAGGCAAAGTAAGGTAGTGCACTTTAAAATGAAAAACAAACACCTTATAAGAGGAATATGGGGAACCAAACAAGGGATGAGGGGACAAAAACCCTAATGAGAGGAGAAGGACAAGAATCAAAATGGGGAAGAGCATAAAAGATTACAGTGATGATTCACTGGTGACTTGGTAGTGGGGATTTTATGGGGGTTATACCGGTGAGGAGAAGTCAAAACTACAAAGTGGACAACAATGTTACATATTTTTAATAAATCATTTTTCATTTTGGTATTTCGTAATGACAGTATTTACCATTCAAATTGTCGATCTCGAATAAAAATGTGAAGTTCGTGTCATGTCCATGTTTTTACTTATCTCCGATTTTGTGAACACAATCAGGATAAACCATATCCTTAAAAATTATAAATTTTTTTGCAGTAACAGCAGTTTACAATGTTTGTTGTAAGAAGTACAGGCTCTCCCATTCAGTTATTACTATATGACACCCACCACCACCACACCCACAGTCCTCCACCAGTTTATTGAGCTTCCTCCCTACCCTCCTCCACCTCTCCCCTTCTCCCTCCAGTAGTCTCAGTTCTATAGTCAGCTTTTTGTGTATTAGCTTGGTTTTACCTCACCCTTTGTTTTGTTTCTGTGTATTCTATATGTGACACCACCATTACTTGTTTTTTTCCTGACTGACTTTGCTTAACATCACCCTCTCTAGCTCCATCCATGTTGGCCCAAATGGTAAGCATTTATCTTTTTCAAAGGCTAGGTAATACTTCATTGTGCATAGGTACATTTTCCTGACCTACTCACCTGTTTTGGGTGGCACTAAAGCTGTTTCCACAGCTTGGCTATTATAAATAGTGCTTCAGTGAACACAGGAGTGCACATTTCTCTTAGAATTATTGTTTTTGTATGCCGTGAGTAGATACCGAGGCATGGAATTACTGCGTCATATGGAAGATCCACTTAATAGTTTGAGAACCCTCCATACTGTTTTCCACAATTACCTGTATGCTAGCTTTGTAGAAATAAAGACCACCCAAATAAGACCAAATAGAAGTTATTTGCTCTGAACTTGCTTCAAGTTCAGGGACAACACTTGCTCATGGCAGAGACTCAAAGGCAGGCAGTGGAGCGGGGAAATGATAGTGATGATGAAGATGTTAGGGATAAGGAGATTGCTAGTATGCTGTGATTGGGGGTTGCTGGCGTGGGGAAGTTGGAGGCAAGTTAAGTGAAACCTTGTGATATACTTGGGGGACAGATTCAGCTTTCTCTGGTTGATCCTAAGTTGGAAACAGTGCGGGGGGTGAGGGGGGTGCAAAGAAACTGCCGGTCACTGACCAAATCCTAATCATCCTGATTTGGTCTCTGCAGAGGTGGTGGATCAGAGTTCTTTGGTTATAAATAATGCCCCTGGTGGCACAGCACTATGAAGCTATCGAAGCCACTGTAGCAAGAGTTCTATCCCCAGCCAGGAAGTTGACCCTCATGGCATTGCAGACCTCTCCTGTCCAGCCCACTGCTCCCCTCAGCAGTGTACTTCGTCAATCTGCCTGTTCTGCTCCCCACTCTGTCTCTGGTGAAGCCTCTCACCGCCCCTGAGCCTCTGGCCTGTACCCCAGTTCTGTATGAATAAATAAATAAATCTTTAAAAAAAAAAATAGCATCATCATTGTTTGTATATTTAGTCTCTCAGTCCTCCCTTTTCCTACTTGTGGGAGTTGTTGACGAAATCTAGAAATCCACATCACCACTTACAGATCAATTTTTCTGTCATCTCCATGGACGATTGTAGTGGAAATCTGGGTTTACCCCCATCATTGAAAAGACAAGTGGTACTTCAGGAATGGTAAGGTTAGGAAAGTCTTTAATTACACATGCCTGCAGAAACAGACATGGGAAGTTCCCAGTCTCAGCACCTTCTGAAGACAAGGGGTTAGTTTTGTGTATAACTATCTCTACATCTGTTACATTGATAAATTGCTTCACAACAGGCAAGTACTGTTTGATGCAAGACTTTACACAACCAGGGAGTAAGAGAGAGATACAATTAATTGGAGGTTGCCCATGGAGACCAGCTTGGCTGGTGACCTTCTAAAATACAACCTTTGTATAGGTAAGCATGCTGAGACCCAGTCATAAACCTTGGTTAGGGAGAATCTAAAAGTGAGCAAACTTGTTAAGTACATCTGTGTTGGCATGTTTAATTGCATCAGGCCTGAAAGCACCTACCTGGTGGGATCTTTATTATATTTATTAGTTCAATAATATTTTGTCTTGACCTTTCTGTTGTTATATCATCATCATGATCATCATGCTTGTGTATTTTGTCTTGACCTTTCTGTTGTTATGTCATCATAATGATAGTCGTGGTTGTGTAAAGCATTTCAAACCTTAGATAGAATATAACAGATATGATGTATCATGACCACTATGTGGAAACAGAAAATCATTCTGTAAATGCTTTGAACCAGGAACCCAAACCCAAGCCAAGAATTAATCCTGTTAGGGGAAATGGGTGTCCTGAATGAACTCTACAGATACAGGTTTTGTGGACCCCAGACACTGAAACGACAAATCCCAGCATCACCAAAGAGAGGAGAACTGGGGCCTGAGGGTAGAGTTAAGCAGCCATGTTGGATATAAAACCAGACATGTGGGCCTTTGGGGGTCTCTTGGACTCTTGGATGGTGGCTTGTCTCTTAGTTTTTCACCACCTCTCAGCATACTATTAG